CAAATTCCAAGCGCTCTTAAGCTGCAAATAGTAAAAGCTGCCAGAGCTAATGAATATAGTAAACGAACTGTTGTAAAATTTTCTTGGATGTGTTTACATTGTACAGGGAAGACACACGTGCAAGGGCGACGTCTGGGCGTTTGCCGTCACGCTGTGGGAAATACTGACATTTGCGCGGGAGCAACCGTTCGAGGAGTTTCCGGATCATCGAATAGTGGAGAATGCGACTTACTTTTATCAAGAGGATGAGCGAAGGGTAAGCGCTCGGAGTAATTCTTCGACTTCTTTCCCTCATTGTGTCCGATGTACTTAATGTAATGAGTGCACTGAGTACTTGATTTCGCATTGAGTGCCTCACGAAGCTTTCAAGGCTTTGAACGCCGCTATTTATTCCGTCTTTCAGACTTCTGATTACCTTACTCCGTAGATTCTTACTACGTTTTTTTTTTTCTATTCTTTACATAGTTTCTTTCAGAAGTAGTCTGAACGTGTCCTGTTTCTCTAAGTCTGACTGTAGGACAATTAACATCGTTGAAAAAACAGGTTTAAATAAATAAACGCACGGTGTCGAATATGTAATTATAAAAGTGGGTCGCGCGAGTGTGTTTCCATGAAAATGACAGAACTACTTGCTTAGTAATTCATATAATGTAATAAATATTGCGTCGCACTCGAGCCCGTCGCGTTCATTTTCCCAACATCAAGAGTGCTTCAAACCAACACGCGCATTGTAAGAATTGTTATTGTATACTCTCTCGGTGTTGTAGAGACAGTTTGTTAATATTTACGAACAGTTCATTGCATAACAAATATTGTGATTAATTACGTGAGCAAAATATTTTTATTATGTCTGTGCCGTTTATTTCTGTAATATCGTGTTAAATTTTATAATGAAATCGTCGCGAGCAATCTGCTTTTTATTCCGGTATAACGCAAAAATATGTCAACGCTTTGATTATGCATTATATAGAAAAATATGTTTAGCGATATATAGAATATGGTACAATTTCGAACATGATACAATTCTGAAATAAGATTTGAATCGAATTTTCGAAGTTCAAATTTGATTTTTCCTGCTTGGTACTCTTCAATACCTTCCACACGAGAGAGAGTTACCAAATTTGAATCTCGAAAATTGGATTCGAATTTTATTTCGTTTAGAATTATACCATGTTTGAAATTATACCTTACCTTACACAACTGATAACGTTAGATTCGACTTGCGATTTTTTTTTGTACAGATGATACTACCACTGCCAAAAAACTGTCCCAAAGAGATCTACGATCTGATGCGTGAATGTTGGCAGAGGAACGACGTCGACCGACCAAACTTTCGCGAGATTCACCTGTTCCTGCAACGAAAAAATCTCGGTTATAAACCCGGTGAGTCGAACGATACTTGATATAGAGAACTGGAAGGCTGGAACCTTATCCGGCTTTCTATGATTGGCGAATTAAATGGCAATTGGTGGAACTGCCCTTCATCGACCAAGCTAGACCAAGTCAGACCAAGTTAGTATCTAGGGTGACGATCCATAAACCGGCTATAACGAACGTAAACTGTTTGTGATGGCATGATCGGACGCGTTCATCGTGCTGATGATAACTATATTGTACGGTGACGCTTACGTGCGAAAAGAAGATATAGGAGTCTACGAGTTGATCGCGCCCAGAACTTTTCATGGTTCACGATATTAATATCCCTTTTTTTAGTACCGTTGGTCGCCATACATTGCGAACAGCGCTGTGAATTTAATCGATAACCGGTATGAACCGCACAAATCACTGTCGCCGTAACGCAAACTGTCCGTGTGCAAACTACAAGACATTGTCTACAAAATTCGCTTTTTTAATGATTCTTTTACACGAATATAATCTACAGACCGTTACTGCCGATCGACAACTATTTCTCCGAGATACGCATAACAATGTGCAGTGCTTGACAATAGAATATTAATTTTTTTATAAGCGCTATTTTTAATCTCTACGAGATATTAATTTTTGTACATATATATCATTTAATTGACGTATTATTGAAAATTTGTGAACTATTATATACGCTTAATTATATAAAATGATAAGTACTCGATCTTCTGGCTAATTCTCGTGCAACTTCTTCTCGTTTCTCTTTTACTTCTTAGCTCGTTATTCTTTTATCAATTGCTTACAGAAGTTACGCGTTGACCAAAACGGATAGCCCCATAACAATGATACCGAGTCTCCACGATACCATATCCACGCTCGCGCAATTGAAATGGATAGATTATGATTTTGATCCGTGGCATTCGATACGAAATGGAACGTTACTAGTGCTGGCAATACGAGGGGAGCACGTTCGATAAATCGCACATACGCTGTTCCGAAATTGATACTGTCAGCAAACAAGCTTATGATATTCGCGCCGTAACGGCACTCGTGTCACGTTCGGGATATACGTGGATCGGACTTGAAAATCGCGAGTTGTACGTAACATGTCCACCGACGAATAACGTAGTCATTTCTAAACTTCGATGCTCGAAATAAAAAAAAAATGGACCTTTATCCAAGATCGAAATTTGCTGATCTTCATGATGGGATTACGTTATCCGTTCTCGGGCCTTTTATATGTCGGTTTCGTAAAAGTGTTCTGAAAAAAAATTTGTTTTTTCAAAAATCTAGATACAGATACATACACGTATATATATGCCATTTTTAAGACAATTAAACGAGTTGTTTTTAGGAAAGCAAAATCTATAAGCGTATACGATCGAGTTGATTATAAATCAATGTGTTTCCGATGATATTTAACTGCTTGTATACTCTTTGCCCCATTTTATTTTTCAAGCTATCGTCTTCAAGAAGATAAATATAAAAACAGGCTAATTATTGTTCCTTCAACCGTTTAATTGCACGACCAATATCCTTCCCTCCAATTCAGTTGGACGAAGATTTCTCGTTAACTTTTTAATTGAACACTCGCCATAGTGGCGCGCAGAAAGAATTATACGAACGTCGCTTCAAGGAGCTTATCAATGCACAAAAAATTATGAAATGGGTTAAGAGGAACATTCTGTAAAATTAATCATTGTGCCGTACAAGAAGCATTTTTCGAAGAGTACGGGAAAAGGTAATCTTAATCCGCGTTAAGTTTTCGTTAAGTTCCCTTAAACTACTCTTAAGCTTAAGATGCGCTTAGCCGAAGTGCATAAATGTTTGACAATACCATTAGAGGTTGCATTATAAATTCATATAAAGTGTGTAAAGAATGTTGAAGGATTAATCGACAATGTAAATTATTAGATTATTATAAGACCGTCATTCTATTGGCGGTCATATTGCATAATCGTTTTAGGATCGTTAACTCTATCGATACACAAAACTTCTCTCGTGCCCCGTTGTTCGACTTCGGCAAAAGCCGTAAGACGGATGTATCGTGATTCTAGGAGGAAAAAAGGAGCACATGTGACCTGATGTTAAGTTTATAGTGTGAAATAGAGATGGGCGATTTACCCGGCAAATGTTTCTACTTCATTTGACACTTGTAAACATCCGATCAAATCTCCGAACATGGTTATAAATGTTTTATATAATAAATATTTGATTTAACTATTTATGCTTTATTTTGACGATCAAATTTTTGAGATTATTATTTATTCTCTGAATTTGTTGTCTTCCTATTCAAACCGACATGTTCCACATATTCCATACACCAGTAAGACATTTCCAGGTAAATAGCTATCGTTAGTATGAAATATTGAAAGACTTATATACTTGTTAGAATGGTTCTGTACGTATAGCAAAAGGAAAACAATAGTTGTGCGAAACACGACAGAGATATTCCGACGTTCAAAAACTTGTACACGTCACGTAAATTCCGATACGTTGTTCTAGGAACCTTGTCTCGCACAGGCTAAGAGACTCATGCTCGTGATCTGTAAGATAATTAAGAGTAGAATATATATATATATATACTATATATATATATATATATATAATATATAT